TAAACACAGTAGCTACTACTGTACACTGATGTCACCGTGTTCGACAGCTTCCAGAGTACCAAGGTACGAGAGATGACTTTTTAAACCACTGGTATAAATTATCCTGAAACTAAAATCATATATTCACTATATAACCATCTTACTGATCGTGTCACAGTGTGTGAATTAACTAGTCGATATATAAACACGGGGTGTTTTTCAACTTCTGCTCTTCTAGTTTATAAAGTGAACGCCTTCACATGTGCGTGACTGTGTTATGATGATCCTGGGAGGTTGTGTGCGTATGGTGGAGACTCAGGCAGCGTACTGACACTGCCCACAGGATGTATCAACCTTCACCACTACCACTAGTGACGTCTGAGGCATCTCCTGCCTTCTCTTTTTATTTATTTAACTTACGTGCGACCGCAGTGTGCGGTTACACTCTTATTTGTGAGTCACTGTTTGAACATCCGCAGTGTGCGTCTACACTGTTGTTTGTGTCACTGTGGGAACACCCGCAGTGTGCGTCTACACTGTTGTTTGTGTCACTGTGGGAACACCCGCAGTGTGCGTCTACACTGTTGTTTGTGACTCACACTGTGCGTATACTATATTCAATGTGACAGTTGCATTATGGGAAGAAATGATAGCTATGTTTCCCTTGTCATATTCCATTACACTGTATGAGTATCTTAAACGTAATGACAATCAGCAACAGATTTGATTAGGGGCGAGGATATAAATTTCTGTAAAGGATCAGTATGTGGCGTTAAAAGATTGGTTAACATGCTGAGTACAATATACCTCTTCTAAGCAAGCTGAAGTTATCAACGGAGGATACACAAAGACGTGGAAGGCGCGAGTGAATTACTGAATAAGAATGGGCGTAAGCAAGAGGTTAGTTTCTGTTATGGAATACTGGCAGCATACTTTGTCCGAGTGAATATGATAATAGTAGTATATAATACCGAGAAGTTGATAAGACGCATGTGCAACAGTTAGGTAACTTTATTCCGAAGGATGATGGATTGATTACATCGTATTTACATCTATACTGCTTCTGCTGTCTCCATACTCGACTGAAGAAGCCTACTGTGTCTTACTATCAGCTATTATCGTCTTGTTATATAGAATATCCTGAGAGATGGTAATTCTACATTACTACTAATGCCAGCTCTGCTGGAACAAAACCTCTGAATCTCCCGTAGCTGCTGAACCCTTAGTGGAATGTTTGACGATATCCTTATTGACATACCAAAGTCTCCTAATTCTGACTGACATATCACTCGATGTAAGAAACGGTGGGAATATGACGGAAACATTTCGTAACTACTATATAGAGTAGGGTAGCAGCACCCTGCTGGAATACGCACTTTTTATTAAATAGAAATAAATCTTGTTAATAGTCAACCAAAGGTTCTGAGCTCCACATTTACAAAGGTTTGTTAGGAACTTTCAATTTAAGGGAAACAATATAAAGGGTCAAATATAATACATAATACTAACGAAGCAACAACAATTACAAACAACAAACACAAGATCACAGTGCTCCTAAATGCCACAAAGTACATCTAACAGCATCCTGTCTAGCGAGACTGTATGTGTGTGTGTGTGTGTGTTTTTCATTTGCTTTTGCGATTTTTCTGGGAAAACGCATAACAAAGAATCATGTGACGACGGCTTCGATATAAACCCAATTGCGTCACCAAGGTCTTTTGACCCTCACTGACACTAATGACACTTTCACTAACGTCATGCTAGAACGATAATTAGCGCAGGTCATCCCTGACCTGAGGATGACACAGTGTTTCTGGGTGATGCAAGAAATAAGTGCCAGAAGTTGGTATAGAAGTTGTAAGAGTGTGCACAAGATGGAGGTAAACACATCAATATTGCTATTGCAACTGTAAGAAAAATGATAGGTTTGCTAACTAGAACTTTCAAAACAGTAAATGCCCAGCCAATGACGATACTCCTCAAGTCACTCTTTTTCTCTAGGCTGGAATATTGCTGTGTACTAACGGTCCCCTTCAAGGCAGGCGAAATTGCTGAACTGGAGCATGAGCGGAGAACCTTAACAGTTCTCATAAATTCAGCTAAGCACCTAAATTATTGGGAGCGCTTGAAGTCACTAGAACTGTACGCCTTAGAATGTAGACGCAAAAGATACATTATAATCTACACCTGGAAGATACTGGAGGGATTGATCCCATAGCTGCACACCGAAATTACTGCTTATGAACACAAGAAGTTTGGCAGACGATGCAGGAGAGCGATAAGTATACTGAGGGAGATACCAGTAAGTGTTAAGGGACCAGGACTCATCAACTTCCTTCATACATTAAGGAGATTAAAAATAAACCTCACGCTGTCTTCAAGAGGAAACTCGACTGATTCCTCTAAACAGTTCCTGATCTCCCGGGTTGTGGTGCATACGTTGAACTGCGGGCGGGGGGCACTAACAGCTTGATCGATCAGGCCAGCAACCAGGAAGCCTGGTCTGGGACCGGGCTGCGAGACCGGTGACCTCCGAAAGCGATTCCAGGTAAACTCCAAGTAAGAAAAGTATAAAGTGATAAGAATATGTAAAATTACAGGAAATTATGGACTGGAAATGAGATTAGAGGGCAGGAATATGAAGGAAGTGAAGGTAGAGGAAGAGGGTGTGGGTGTCCGAAGTTGAGGTACGAAAGATGAAGCAAATCCTGGAGAAGATGAGGGAGAGAAAGTATTAGTGAGCAATCTATGGGCAGAAAAACTTGCCAGTGGATTCGAAAATATGAATGACAAGTTTAGTGGAGCAGATTCTTGTGCACGGTTGTATGACTTCATTGTTACTGCAGCGAAAATGTGAGTGGAGGCAGTGCTGGTGTATATGAGGACAAGTTGTGGTGTGGATATTATCCACTGAATAAGGAGTGAAGAAATTGGAGGATGGTGTAGTGATGTGTAGGTATAATCCAGTGACTGGAAGAGGTATTCAGATGGTTTGGTTATGCAGGAAGAAATGATGGAGCAGGATAGTTGGTGAGGATTGTATATAAATCTGATTTGGATGGATGGGGTGTCCCAGCAAAGTTCACGGTATGTGCTTGAACATCCAGCAGGCTGATGGGAGCATGTTAGAGCAGAGTGAACTAGGGAGTTTTGGAGACTTCTGGTGTGTTGTTGGAGTGAACAAGGTGATATACATGAAAATATCAGGAAGATCAGTTAGTCAAATATTCTGGGGTAGGAAATATGGTACCGACACTTTGTAAGTTGGGTGGAGATGCTGCGGCTCCATGGATCGGTGGATTGTGATGTCTATGTAATTTAATTATCTGAGTTTGGAGTGAGCTCTAGTTCATGGATCCACCTCTTAATGTTGCAAAAATACTGTCTAACATACAAGTAACCTATGTTAGGTATGCGACTATTACAACATTCAGCTGCACATGTGTCCTTTTATCTAACATACTGTCGGTAATTCTATCAACATATTGGTGATGGGTATCACTCTGTGTACAGCCGTCAAGTAGTGTTCCTTGTCAATTTATCACCGCCTACTTCCTCTATGTTGTGTAGCGTTTTGTGCGTCGCGATCATGTCTCCTCCAAACCTGCTTTCTCCCAGAATCCTAAGATCAAGTTCATGAAGTTTCTACTCACAGCTCCTGAGTTTTATTCGCGGTACCAGTGTCTTGGTGTGGCTGACAACACTCTGCAGCTGTGCTACGTACCTGGCCAGGTGGGTCACCTCCTCTCTGCTGATACATATTTAACGAGTGATCTTGTAACATATGTGGTGAATAAAAATGTGAAACATTCCTTGATCAGGTTCTTGAAGGTCGCTTTTATGCTTGTAAGGGCTGGCTGTCTCACTGATGCTATCCCATCTCATGTGTACTATCTCACACTGGTTACCTGGGGTACTCACACAGGTTACCCGGAGTATTCTCTCACACAGGTTACCTGGGGTACTCTCCCACACAGGTTACCAGCGGCTGTGTTAACAAACTCGATGAGTCCCTCCTTCCTTGATACTGTCGTGTCTGGCCTCTCTCTCTCTCTCTCTCTCTCTCTCTCTTTCAATGTGCTCTCTTAGTACTTTCTTCCTGATGCTGGTAAGTTCTTAATCCAAGGAACTGGAGCTACCCATTCATTCCCGTGATCGAACTTGATTACTCCCCATTCCCCAGACACTATATGACCCCTACGAGTTTAGCATATTTCCATGAATAATAATAATAATAATAATAATAATAATAATAATAATAATAATAATTATTATATTATTATTATTATTATTATTATTATTATTATTATTATTATTATTAATTACTCTTTTTGCGGGTTGAGGTCTTAGTTATTTCTTGATTAAAATTATTCTATTTATGAGGGAGTGTTAAACCTGTAGGGGCCATACAGCGGTTGACGCAACTGGGCGCATTTAGGTTGGATACCCAGGTGCAGTTCCTTGGATGAAGAGCCTCTCTAGTGGCATCAAGGAACCTCCCCCTGGGAAAGACATTCGTACAGATGTGCATAAACAACTATCACTGATCTCTCTGCTCGCCTTTCTCTCTTCTCTCCAGGTTATTCCTTCATTAATAGATGGCAACTCTGGCTGTACTACCATACGAGTGTTAGAGGGAAGACTCACTAATGTTTCCCAGTGGCAGGACTGATGTTTACTTTCATGAATTAAGGTCTGTTTATATTCACTACGGTACCTTTAATGTGTTTATAAATAGTTTATATTTGTTATTTTCTTTCTCTTTAAGAAGGTCTGGTCTGAGACCAACCCCTATCTCTCTCTCTAACCCCTATCTCTCTCTCTATCTATAGTCGGTAATTCTACCATCATTAGTACAGAGACCTTACCTGTCACTGCACTTCAAGAAAAAAGGAAGGGTGTGCGTTAATGCTGGTGAAGGGCTGCTGATCCAAAGAACTGAAGCTATGCTTCCCCTTCCTCGAATCAAAGCAGATTACCTGCCACTGCCCAGGTGTTTGAGCATGAATGAGTATAATCACCTGTGGTTGGTGCTCGCTCCTGGACCACCCTGGACCAGCGTCTGGAGTGCCGCTGGAACTTCCAGTTGCCAGAGAGTGCACACTGCTGCTCCTCGTCGTCTGATTCCTCCGTCTGTAACAGCATTAACAAAACAAGCAATATTAACAACATTAACAACGCAAAAAAACACTATTAACATAAACATTAACTCATAATACTCATCCGCCTGCAACATTATCAACACTACAAACACCAACAATAACCACAAAAACAACAATATACAACTAAGGCAACAGCCGACTAGTGATGATAATCAGAGTGAAGAAATCGTAGCAGGGAGAGCATCAATGTAGGAGCCTCAAAATGAGAACGACACAGGACGGGACAAGTCATTTCAGAGTAAGACCCACACTGAGCAAACACAAGACGCTGTACACTGACTGTTGAAGATAATCTCGGTTATATGTGAGAGAGACGTAATTAAGTCAGCAAGGAGAGAGAGAGGTGAGATAAGTGAGCAGCAGGAAGAGGAAGGAATTATAGGTTTGGTGTAAAATAGATAAGGAGCTCCTGGGACCACAACACAGTCAGACACGTTGTGACTGGTGTGTGCGGCCATGGTCATTACCCCTGGTCCCAGACCGAGCCGCAAGGTGGTGGAAGAACCCTGGAAACTGGTCAGAGGCTTGTCACTGGTTGTAAGGCCTGGGACTACAAAACACAACCGCGGTCAACAGTAACAGCCTGGTTGATCAAGCCTTGATCCATCAGGAGGCCTGGTCGTGGATCGGGTCGCGGGGGCGTTGATCCCCGGAATACCCTCCAGGTAGACTCTAGGTAGACATGCTACTAATACCATCTACACCACCACCGCCAGTCAACCACAACGCCACTCCTACCACCTACACCACGACTGTCAACCACAACGCCACTCATACCACCTACACCACCACTGTCAACCACAACGCCACTCATACCACCTACACCACCACTGTCAACCACAACGCCACTCATACCACCTACACCACCACTGTCAACCAAAACGCCACTCATACCACCTACACCACCACTGTCAACCACAACGCCACTCAAAAACCACCTACACTAAACCCCTGTCAACCACAACGCCACCATACCAAACCCAAAATTACCACTGTCAACCACAACGCCACTCAGTACCACCTACACTACCTCTGTCAACCACAACGCCACTCATACCACCTACATTACCACTGTCAACCGCAACGCCACTCAGTACCACCTACACTACCACTGTCAACCACAACGCCACTCATACCACCTACACTACCACTGTCAACCACAACGCCACCATACCACCAACACCATCACTGTCAAACCCCAACGCCACTCATACCACCTACACTACCACTCAACCACAACGCCCCCATTCCACCTACACTACCACTGTCAACCACAACGCCACTCATAAACCCCTACACCACCACTGTCAACCACAACGCCACCCATACCACCTACACAAAAAAATGTCAACCACAACGCCACTCATACCACCTACACTACCACTGTCAACCACAACGCCACCCCTACCACCTACACTACCACTGTCAACCAAACGCCACCATACCACCTACACTACCCCTGTCAACCACAACGCCATTTATACCACCTACACTACCACTGTCAACCAAACGCCACTCATAAACCCCCTACACACACTGTCCAAACCCCAACGCCACTCATACCACCTACACACCACTGTCAACCCAAAGCCACTCACCACACCACCCCCACTGTCAACCACAACGCCACTCATACACCTACACCACCACTGTCAACACAAAGCCACTCATACCCCCTACACCAACTGTCAACCACAACGCCACTCATACCACCTACACCACCACTGTCAACCACAACGCCACTCATACACCACACACCACTGTCAACCACAACGCCACTCATACCACCTTACACCACCACTGTCAACCACAACGCCACTCATACCACCTACACTCACCACTGTCAACCTACGAACGCACTCATACCACCTACACCACCACTGTCAAGCCACAACGCCACTCATACCGACCTACACCACACTGTCAACCACAACGCCACTCATACCACCATCACTACCACTGTCAACCACAACGCCACTCATAACACCTACACCGCCACGTCAACCACAACGCCACTCTACCATACACTACCACGTCAACCACAACGCACTCATGACTACCTACAAAGCCACGTCACAACGCCACTCATACCATCTACACCCCACTGTCAACCACAACGCCACTCATACCACCTACACCACCACTGTCAACCACAACGGCCACTCATACACTTACACTACCACTGTCAACCACAACGCCACTCATACCACCTAACACGCCATGTCAACCACAACGCCACTCATACAACTACAACCCCACTGTCAACCACAACGGCCACTCATACCCTCATACATACGCCAACATGTCAACCACAACGCCACTCATACCACTACACTACCACTGTCAACCACAACGCACTCATACCACCTACACACCACTGTAACCACAACGCCACTCATACCACCTACACTACCACTGTCAACCACAACGCCACTCATACCACTACACTCACCACGTCAACCACAACGCCACTCATACCACCTAACACCCAACTGTCAACCACAACGCCACTCATACCACCTACACTCACCACTGTCAACCACAACGCCACTCATACCACCTACACCACTGTCAACCACAACGCCACTCATACCACCTACACTACCACTGTCAACCACAACGCCACTCATACCACCTACACCACCACTGTCAACCACAACGCCACTCATACCACCTACACCACCACTGTCAACCACAACGCCACTCATACCACCTACACCACCACTGTCAACCACAACGCCACTCATACCAACACTACCTACCACTGTCAACCACAACGCCACTCATACCACCTACACCACCACTGTCAACCATAACGCCACTCATACCAATTACACCACCACTGTCAACCACAACGCCACTCATACCACCTACACCACCACTGTCAACCACAACGCCACTCATACCAATTACACCACCACTGTCAACCACAACGCCACTCATACCACCTACACCCCACTGTCAACCACAACGCCACTTCATACCACCTACACCACCACTGCAACCACAACGCCACTCATACCACTTACACACACTGTCAACCACAACGCCACTCATACCACCTACACCACCACTGTCAACCACAACGCCACTCATACCACTTACACCACCACTGTCAACCACAACGCCACTCATACCACCTACACTGCCACTGTCAACCACAACGCCACTCAATACACCTACACCTACCACTGTCAACCACAACGCCATCTCATACCACCTACACTACCACTGTCAACCACAACGCCACTCATACCACCTACACCACCACTGTCAACCACAACGCCACTCATACCACCTACACCACCACTGTCAACCACAACGCCACTCATACCACCTACACTACCACTGTCAACCACAACGCCACTCATACCACCTACACACCACGTCAACCACAAACGCCACTCATACCCTACCTACACTTCAACCACACGCCACTCATCACCTACACACCACTTCACCACAACGACACTCATACCACCTACACACCGTCAACCACAACGCCACTCATACCACCTACACTACCACTGTCAACCACAACGCACTCATACCACCTACACTACACTTCAACCACAACGCCACTCATACCACCTACACTATCACTGTCAACACAACGCCACTCAGTACCACTACACACCACTATCAACCACAACGCCACTCAGTACCACCTACACTACACTATCAACCACAACGCACTCATACCTACACTACACTATCAACCACAACGCCACTCAGTACCACCTACACTATCACTGTCAACCACAACGCCACTCAGTACCACCTACACTATCACTGTCAACCACAACGCCACTCAGTACCACCTACACTATCACTATCAACCACAACGCCACTCAGTACCACCTACACTATCACTATCAACCACAACGCCACTCAGTACCACCTACACTACCACTATCAACCACAACGCCACTCAGTACCACACTACACTATCATGTCAACCACAACGCCACTCAGTACCACCTACACTATCACTATCAACCACAACGCCACTCAGTACCACCTACACTATCACTATCAACCACAACGCCACTCAGTACCACCTACACTACACTATCAACCACAACGCCACTCAGTTACCACCTACACTACCACTGTCAACCACAACGCCACTCAGTACCACCTACACTATCACTATCACCACAACGCCACTCAGTACCACCTACACTATCACTATCAACCACAACGCCACTCAGTACCACCTACACTATCACTGTAAACCCAAAACACACCACCTCAACCTTTTCTACAGACTGACGGATCGTTTACCATTTAACCTCCCCACTTTTGATGCGTACAATCCCTTCTCCCTTATTATTATTAATTATTTTATTATTATTATTATTATTATTATTATTATTTTTAGGGGGACAACCTTGCTGGTAGTGGCCTTCCCTGTCATTTTTTGCGGGAAGTGAGGGGAGCGTCCGGGATCCCCACTGCACTCACAAAAAACCAACTACCAACTCCACTAGTTTTCCCCCCCAGGCACCAAAAGCAAATCTACGTAATTCACACTTATATACGGAATTCACTAAATTTGTCATTTTCAAAAACACCAAACACATGGGAAATTTCAGTGTGGGAATTTTGTTCTTGAGTACGAAGCCCTTTCTTGTGCGGGCTTTACTCCCACAACAATTCCCGGGGGTTATATCACAAGAGATGTTACGGTATGTCAAAGAGAATGTCGCGAGCTATGCCCAAGGAGATTCCACAAGAGGATGTCACGAGGTATATCACAAGAGATGTTACGAGATATGTCACAAGAGAGATGTCACGAGATATGTCGCAAGAGATGTCACGATATATGTCACAAGAGAGATGTCGCGAGCTATGTCACAAGAGAAATGTCACGAGCTGTCACAAGAGAGATGTCCACAAGAGAGATGTCACGAGTTATGTCACAAGAGAAATGTCGCGAGATATGTCACAAGAGAGATGTCAATTTCTGACGGTTTGCTCAATGTCAACATTTAAACATCATTTTTTATCTAAGTCGTATTGTGCTGAAGTCGGGTTAATTTACGTTAGACTGGTCTAGGTTGATTTAGGCTAATAATTAACTTAATTCAGGCTATATAACGTAAACATTTAGCTGCAACAGAAGCCGTAATACGTCTGGCAATGAGATGGCGAAGAAAAAATAAGAAACGTCCAAGTGAAGGAAGGCAGCTGAGCCTGCCTTCCTTCAGCCTCCCTGTTTCTCTCAACTTTCTCCGCGGCCTGGTCATAGACCGGGCCGCGGGGGCATTAATCCCTGGAATACCCTCCAGGCAGACCTGCCTCCCTCCAGGCCTCATATGTTTGTGTATTGTCTATGATGGGCACAGCGTACATATGGCACCATTGTGCATGGCTAGCTCGTCATCTATCTTCGTGTGCGTGTGACGCTTTGCTCATTAGTCGAGTGTCACACAAAACATAGATTCAGATTAGGTAAGATTTGTCAGGAAACAGGATAAGTGTTTCCTGACGTGGGTCTTAGTTATATGATGACCCGCAGGAGCTTTTGGTTATCTAACCGAGGCCTTCAGGTGGCTTACCGGTCCACCACTTTAAAAATTATGGATAAAAAAAAAAACAGAAGAATCACCTTGTTTTTCCTGGCGGAGTCGAGACGTATCTTGGCGCAGCGGTTGAGTACTCGTAGTCTCCTGAAGAGTGCCTGCAGGGAGTCGGTGTCGAGGAATGCGTGATCTCTCTCCACACACACCAGGTCCAGCGGGAACTGCAGCTCTGAGGGGAGCACGGAGGTATATGCTTGTGACACACAACACAACACTAAGTAAAGACTCTGGACTCTAGGTGCCATCTATTAGCGGGGCATCTATAACGACGGAAGGGGGGGTGCAATCTATCAGGGTAGAGGGGGGTGTGGGACATCTCAGGGTGATGGGTGTCTATATTACGAGGGATGGGATCTATTAGAGTGGAGGGGGTGGGGGAGGTAAAGGGGAAAGAGAGAGGGGTCACTATGACTGAAATTATTTGATGGAAGGAAGTGGGTGGGGGAAGCAGAAGAGGCGGTCATGGTTTATTGAGGAAAAATTACTTCAAGTCTATAGGAGCAGGAAACCATCGTTTAGTGAGGCACACGTGTCTCAGAGAGAGACAGAGACAGAGAGGAGAGAGCGAGGGAGACAGAGAGAGATACATACCTTCGTACATCTGAGCATACTGGGGGAAGCCGGCTGCCCGTAGCCATTTGCAGGCCTCTAGTGCTTCTAGCTCTGTGGAAGAGAGAAACACCTGTCAGTGATACCCTCAGTGATAACCCCCCCCCCACACACACACATACACACACAGTAGCAACTAGCGAAGAGGCGGAGCCAGGACCTATGACTCGACCCGTGCAACCACAAATAGATGAGTACAAATAGATACACACACACACACACACACACACACACACACACACACACACACACACCACACACACACACACACAACACGCACACCACACGCACACGCACACACACACACACACACACACACACACAATACACACTGGATTAATACATAACACACTTTATTAAACATCTTTAAATGCCACATCATCTTGCGAGCCAACGAACTACTGTAAGATGAGATAAGATTTTGTTGGGATTTTTAACCCAGAGGGTTAACCACCCAGGGTAACCCAGTAAGAGCGTCACTGAGGATTGTCTTGTCCCCCAGACTGCGACCCACAACAGTTGACTAACACCCAGGTACCTACTTGCTGCCAGGTGGCCAAGGACAGCAGATGTAAGGTAACCATGCCCAACGTTTTACTCGTGCCGGGAATCAATCCCGGACCCTCAGAACGTAAGCTGAGGACGCTACCAACCAAGCCACGAGCAACCCACCACACTATTATCTATACGCACGACGTTCACTAAAATCATTAGATATTTCTAGATAACCAGAGCACTAATATAACCCCAACACAAATATTAAATTAGTCACACCGTAACACTGCTGATTCTCAGCCGTTTTCTTTGACAGCATCACAACCACCAGTGACCCCTCATGTTAATGATGTGCTCTTGATCCAGGAAACAGAGCTATCCTTCCCTTCCTTGAATCAAGAACGTGTTTACCTCTAATTCCCCAGACGCTGTATACGACATCTACGGGTTTAGCGCTTCAGTGAATATAAAACCACTCACCGGGTCGAATAATTCCCTCTCAATATCACAAGTAGATTTCCGCTTCATTTGGAGAATAAAAACACTGGGAACACTAACTCAAAATACCATTAAAATACCGCAATATATCAATGTAAAAATTATATAATAGTATAGGAAGCCTTATAGAAATTATGAACACTGTTCGTTACCTTCGATCAGTTACTCGTCTGGTGCCTGCCTGGTCAACCAGGCTGTTGGTGCTAGCAGCCTGCTGGTCCACATATCCGTCACAGCCTGGTTGATCTGAAACCTGGTGGAGATACTTGTCGAGTTTCCTCTTGAAGACTTCTACACTTGCCCCAGCAGTGTTTCTGATATCTTCTGGTAAGAAGTTTTTCCTCACAAGTTAGTTCTAAGTGTTTATAAACGGCTTCATATAAAAGAAGTTCCACAGACAAGAAGGAAACGTCTGGCAGTGGAGTGGTACCTGACGAAATCTAGGACGTCAGAAACAACACGATCGTCAGGTAGGGGACTTGGTCGCAGGCTGAGGTATGGGATTCAAGGGATGTGGTGCGGGCACCGGTGTACGTGGTAGATAGGGATACATGTGCGGGTTCAGGCGTGTGTACGTGATGACGTACATGCGCGTGTTAGTGTAATTTGCACACAAGTATGCCGAGACAGTCGTGTACCTTAAAGAATATCGTGGTTCATGTACGTGTTGGGACGAGACCCCTCACATGTATACACACACACACACACACACACACACACACACACACACACACACACACACACACACACACACACACACACACACACAAACAACTCCAACAAATGCGTAATCGCTCTTACAGACGGTCTTGAATCACAACGCTGGTCATCCCAAGCATATGCACTGCAATGAGGCTCGAAAGAAATGGAAATGGAATACACCCTAGGGAAGAAAAATTACCCAGAACAGAGATAAGCAAGGGGACCTTCAGATGACGGTCGCTATATCACCAGAGGAACACACAAACCACAAAACATCTGTAGTATAAGCCAGACTGGGTAGTCAAAGAACAGCATTCAGGAACCTAAACAAAGACTCGTTAAGGACACTACACGGTGTATGTAAGGCCCATCATGGAGTAGGTATTCAACCCTCATCTGATAAATCATATGCAAAAAAACAAGAGGTTCAGAGGTTTGCAACAAGACTCGTCCCGCAGCTCATCAGAGGACTGCGATATCCGGAAAGACTAACAATTGAATCTGACGATCATAAAAGCAAAGGGAGTGAGAGGAAACATAATCAGACGTATTAAAATAGTGAGGACCAAGACAGGTTGATAGAGAGGAGAGGATCTGGCATAGACACAGATGAGTCCGCGGAACACTGCAGAATATTTTTTACTCTCATGGCAACTAGATGAAGGAACTGTAGACGCTCCCTCCATTCACAGCTTGAAGAGTAGGTACGATAGTTTCTAGAAGGCCAGGGACCAGATGTCCACAAGTCAAACCAAGAGAGTCAGGAGCAACGTTTAAATCTCCTCTCCCCCATACAGCACACACACACACACACACACACACACACAGCGATGTACTGGAGGCAGGATCCATACATAGCTTTAAGCAGAGGTATGATAAAGCTCACGGTTCAGGGAGAGTGACCTAGTAGCGACCAGTGAAGAGGAGGGGCCAGGAGCTCGGACTCGACCCCTGCAACCTTAACTAGGTGAATACAACTAGGTGAGTACACACACACACACCACACACACACACACACACACACACACACACACACAGAGGAGCTGAGTATCGACCCCTGCAACCACAATTAGGTGAGTACACACACACACACTAGCAGCTATGATGGCCTGGGGAACGTGATGAGAGATTGCTAAGCTGGAAAACGTACAGAGAACTTTCACTGCTTGTATACACCCATTCAAGCATCTGAACTATTGGGAACACTTGAAGTACCTTCAACTGTATTACCTGGAACGTTGGCGAGAAAAGATACATAAAAATCTGCACCTGGAAAATCCTGGAGTGACTTCTCCCAAACCTGAACACCGAAATCACTCCTCATGACAAGAGACTTAGCAGACTATGCAAAATACTTTCATTAAGAGAGAAGTCTATAAGTGTCAGAGGTCGAAGACTCTTCAACGCCCTCCCTTCATACATACGGGAATTACCAACAAACCTCTGGCGGTTTTCAAGAGGGAACTAGACAAGTTCCTCAAATCAGTGCCTGATCCGCTGGACTGTGGTTCGTACGTTGAACTGCATACAGCCAGCAGTAACAGCCTTGTTGATCGGGTCTTGATCAACTAGGCCTGGTCTGGGACTGGGCCGCAGGAGCGTTGACCTCAGGAAACGGTCTTCGGGTCTCTTAAATGACGATGTTGACTTGACATGCTCATATAACTTGCTGTCACTTGTGTGGCGATGACAGCAACTCGAGATTTCAACCAGCAAGTGGTGGTGTGGGCGTGGATGGTGGCGTGGATGGTGGCGTGGGTAGTGGAGTGGGCGTTGGTATGGGTGGTGGCATGGGCGTGGGTGGTGTGGGGGTGGGTGGTGGCGTGGAGATAAGTGGGTGGAAGGAGGAAGGGTAGTAAGAGGGTGGGGGGATGAGATGGGGGTCAGACGGAAGCGTGCTTTGAGGTGGGCGGCAGACAATGCACCTGTCAGCTGCATTGGGGCCGCCCACCACCCACTTTAGCCATCCCCCTCCCAATCCACCCACACCATCCGACGTGGTAATTCCCAGTTGATAGTAACTCCAGCTCTGCTAGAACATGGATATCTCAATCTCTCACAGCTACTGAACCTTGGTTTACCTGGAGTCGCTTCCGGAGGTCACCGCCCCAGTAGCCCGGTCTCTGACCAGGACTCCTGGTTGCTAGCCTGATCGATCAAGCTGTTAGCGCCTGCCGCCCGCAGTACAACGTATGCACCACAACCCGGTTAATCAGGAATTGTTTTAAAGGAATCTGTCGAGCTTCCTCTTGAAGACAGCTAGGGGTTTGCTGGCAAATTCATTCATGCATGAAGGGAGAATGTTGGCGAGTCGTGGTCCCTTTACAATTAATGAATTCTTCTTCAGTATAAACTCATCGCTCTCCTGCTTTTCACTGGAGGTATCCTGCACTGTCTGCCAAGCTTGTGTTCATAAGCAGTAATTTCGGTATGCAGGTTTGAGATCAATACCTCTAGTATCTTTCGGGTGTAGATTATGATGCATCTTTCTCGTCTGCGTTCTAAGGCGTACAGTTCTAGGTGACTTCAAGCACTACCAGTGAATTAGGTACTTGACTAAGTTTATACAAACTGTGAAAGTTCTCTGTACATTTTCCAGCTCAGTAATTTCGCCTACCTTGAGGGAGCCGTTAGTACACAGCAATATTCCAGCCTAAAGAGGAACGAGTGACCTATAGAATATCATCACTAGCTTGGCGTCTCTTGTTTTGCAGGTGGCACGCTTGACAATATCCTTATCATCCTACTGAAGTCTCCCATCCCAGGATGACACATTGAATTACTTCCAGTATGTAACCCTTTTTGCGTGATGGACTATGACAGAAAAAGATGGCTAAATTCTGTTCCTACCATGTAACTATCGTATAGAATAGGGTCGCGGCACAATGCGAGTGTTTCAACAGTGTACAATATAGAACAGGGTGACAGCACATTGTTAGTGTTAGTATAACGTAACTCTCATACAGAACAGAGTAGCAGCATACTGCGTGTATTAGCACAGTGTAATTATCATACAGAACAGAGTAGCAGCATACTGCGTGTATTAGCACAGTGTAATTATCACACAGAACAGAGTAGCAGCATACTGCGTGTATTAACACAGTGTAATTATCATACAGAACAGAGTAGCAGCATACTGCGTGTATTAGCATAGTGTAATTATCGTACAGAACAGGGTAGCAGCACACTGCGGGTATATTTAGGATTATTCAGTTAAAAATACTCCTACTTTGCTATGTGCAAACACTTCATGTGATGCTCGACCCCCCCCCCCCCCGGTCAGAACATCTGTGGCATTCAAATAATGTAGTGAAGGAAAGTGAGAGACACTACAGAAGAAGCTTTAACTGGGGCAACGT